TATCTGTCACTCCAGAGAATGCTTTGTGTTCTTCACAGGAAGAAGCGGAAACTAGAATCATTCTTCACGTTTTGCATGTTGATGCTCAGCATCCTTCTGCTGCACAAGTTGTGATATGATCAGATGATACAAATGTGTTGATTCTGCTTCTGAAGGTTGTTCAAAAGGTGAAAACTTCTGTTGTATTTGACAAAGGCACTGGTGACAAACGAAGACTTCTGGATGTACAAAGTATCATCAATCTGAAAGGGTCCACTCTGTGCAATGTCCAGCCAGCCCTTCATGCATTTACAGGACGTGATGCCACCAGTGCCTTTGTCAGACGCGGCAAAGTTCTCCCCATTGAGCTTCTCGAATCTCACCCTGAATTTGTGAATGCTTTTTTGCAAGATAGGACTTTCTGATGAGATAGCTACTGACTTGTTGAGGTCTTTGGACTCCTTTGTCTGTCATATGTATGGTCAAGTCACACACAATGTAAATGAGGCTCGCTACCAAATCTTCATGAAGAAGTTATAACCCAAGGGAGGACAGACTATGACAAGGTATGATGATGTAGACATGTGACTCTTTCCACCTTGCAGAGACTCCCTATACATGCACATGCAGCGTGCGATCACCAGGCCTTGATCTTGGTCAATGCTGACAAGAATCCCCCTAGTGTTGCTCACCCTGTGGGCTAAGGGTGGCTGAAAGGGGAAGTAAATGCTCTGAAATGTCAATGGACCATAGGCAACATCCTTCCACAAGAGTTGACTGACATAATATCCAGCAAGAACTTAGATTTGAGTAGAATGGAGGATTCAGATGAAGTTGAGATTGAGAGTCTTGTGGACACAATCTATGATGATTCGGCATAAAGGTACATAAATATAAGTAATGGTTACTCAATGTTATAGAAAGCCAAAGTGAGAATAAACCACCATGCTTTAAGTATAGCTGTAATATTAATTTTGATCATTTTAGAGCAGTTGAAGAAATAATACGTTCTTTAACCAACTGCCAACTAGACAGTGTAGAAAAACAGCATTCAAGTCTGATTTCCCCCTTAGACACAATGCATTTTTCAAATTTAAAGTCTTCCTGTGCCTCTAACTAAATAATAAATGTTAGATATGTTCATTGTTCCTGATAAAGGGAAGTTATAAGAATGTATTTTGTGAAAAAAAGAAAAAAACTCATTTTTCCAATTTTTACCCCTGGCCCCCTCTTGAAGTCAGGGCATAAAATCCAGCACCCAGACTACAATAAATCATCTCAAAGTCTTTTTCATGCTTTAAGTATAGCTGTAACATTAATTTTGATCATTTTAGAGCTATTGAAACAAGAATACCTTCTTAAAACAATTGCCCACTAGAAAGTGTAGAAAAACACCTATAAAGTTTCATTTTTCCCTTAGACGCAATGCATTTTTCAAAGTAAATGTCTTCCCGTACCTATAACCTATCAATAAACCTTAAATATTTCTTATAGTTCCTGATAGAAAGCAGTTTTTAGAATGTATTTTGTGAAAAAAGCAAAAACTAATTTTCCCAAATTTTTCCCACCCTGACCCCCTTTGGGGGGTCACTGCGGAAAAATTCCCCCGCACCCAGCCTGCAAACACCTGGAATTTGAATGTACATATGATAAGCTTTCAAAAAAATATAGTCTTCAAAATTCCCCAAGGGGGGGGAGGGTCACCTATATCAGCCCATGGACTAGTAAGTGAGGGGTACTACCTGTAGCTTAGGACATGCTTTTTGTTGTCGAGGCGGTGGGCTAGCCTAGTGGTTAAAGGGTACGCTCGTCACGCCGAAGACCCGGGTTCGATTCCCCACATGGGTACAATGTGTGAAGTCCATTTCTGGTGTTCCCGCCGCGATATTGCTGGAATATTGTTAACAGTGGCGTAAAACCAAACTCACTCACTCATCATTCACGTTGAAAGTCTTAATGTACTCCCAGCATGAACGTAGAATACATTGACATTTGAACACCTGCTTTCTGGGCTCCATTGTTTGAAGGCCATGTGTGTATGTAAATTGAGTAAGTGATGGGTACTACCTGTAGCTTAGGACATGCTTTTTGTTGTCGAGGTTGTGGGCTAGCCTAGTGGTTAAAGGGTACGCTCGTCACGCCGAAGACCCGGGTTCGATATCCTACTTGGGTACAATGTGTGAAGTCCATTTCTGGTGTTATCCGATGGGATATTGCTGGAATATTGCTTAAAGCGGCTTAAAACTAAACCCACTTACTTTGTTTCAAAGAACACCGAAGTATTTATATAATTATTATTAATATTTTGCCTCATATGCCGATGGAATCTGTGTTGGCAGATCATCGATTCTGGTTATTGTGTGGCGTTGACGTTATATCATTTTCCAAACATTGATTCCATGCGTTCCAGTTACCATTTGAATGTACAATTGTATATAAAACATCATCATCATCATCATCATGAACTCATTAACGTGATTCACGCAGAAGCCTCAGTGTATAAGTGAGTGAATACATACTGAAATCATGTTGTAGACATGTATGTCTTAATGATAACAACATGTTCTCATAGGGTATATTATCCGATGCTCAAGCGAGCTAACTGACGTGATACTGAAAATACTTATGCATAACTTTACATACTGACTGTACGCTCAGGGATTATGTAGATGTTACCAAAAACAACAACAGAGTTAAAGCAGCCATTATATTATATCAAGGCAAGTGAGCGAGACGGGATACTGGTCGGTGACCTTTGTCACTTTGTTGAAATATGTGTGAAGACAGTTAAGGTTTTATAAGAGATAAAGTTTTGATGTATCTATCGAGTAGATGGAGAATCAGTGATTCTGAAAATAGGTTGTTACTGATTCAACCACGACCGATGATAACATATCAAACAAAGAGCAAGTTTCACGTGTAATACAATCGAAACATCAAAAACGTTCATTGATCTGTTCCCAGGAATCTAGGAAGGTTTACGCAGCACTATCGATATTCCAGCTGTGTGACGTCACACAGTAAATAATCGGATCTGTTAAGATCCGGGTTAGAATTGGTCTTCAGCAACCCATGCTTGTCGTAAAAGTCGAGTAACGGGATCGGGTGGTCAGACTCGCTGACATGGTAACACATATCGTCGTATCCCAATTGCGCAGATCGATGCTCATGCTACTGATCACTGGATTGTCTGGTCCGGTCTTGATTTTTTACAGATCACCGCCATATAGCCGGAATAATGTCTTTTTGTATTTGATAAGCCTTATGGGTTGACGTGACTTTTAAATAGTGAGTCCTATTTTCCTATGACACAGGGCTTGTCACTGGTGACAGATTAATGGCCTCTTTGTTTCTATATATAGCGGTTCATATTGCAGGGGCACAACTAGGGTTCTTATAAATGTAACTAAATCTATTTCGAAGAAATAAACCGAAGCGACCAAGTCCCCTAAGGATGCTTAAGGGCCCACCCTCCAAAATTCTTTAAATTAGATGCTCTTCAAAGTTATTATAAAACACCTGTCACACATACCAACATAATTTAAATCAACAGTTGCCCTTTAACCCCCTTTAATTGATCTATCATCCCCCCATCGTAAAGTATATTATGTAGTATAATATGCATTCAACTAAAATAATAATGACAAGTTCCCGATGCTATTTTGAAATTGTTTCCAAGGTCATCTATGTCTTCATCTGTCGTCATGCACGGACTGAATGTAAATATACTTTTGTGAGGATCTGAAATAGAACTGATAAATTCACTTTACCCCAAGCTGAGAACGGGGTAAATTAACACGCACCCTTTGTAATCTTCATCGACCACACGTGCTAGCGATTACGTGCCTCAGTCTGAGAGTGCGGGTTTGAATACTGTCGTAACTGGCGTTTGGGCGTTAGTAAACCCTACCACAGTTACTTACTACTTGTGGCTCAGTAACTTACGATCATCTGAGTGCTTTGTGAGAGGAGGCCATGGACATCTAACTAACCGCATTACATTCTGGCACACATACATTCATAGATAAACGCAACACCAAGTTATACTAACATAGTTTTTTTCTCTGTCTTAGTCCATTTCTAAATACAACTTCACCAACAGTTAGGGTAGGCTCGTACCACACGGGGAGACTGAGTAGCGTGGACTGGCTTCCGTCACTTTAAAGCGCGCACCAGTCGCTCAGTGCCCAACCTGTGTATTTATATGGTTCGAGCCTGGCCTGATCTTGATCACATGTTTCAACTCATTGTTTTGATTCGTTAATCCTGTATCCGTCCTAGCACTCATGGATATTATGATGGAAAATTATTGGTAAGTAACGTTCGGTCACTCTCCCCTCTTTATTGATTTGTTATTGTGTTCTGTCTCTCACGACGGATATATTTCTACCTTATGGCTAAACGCCATTCTCTCTAGACTTTGTCTAACCGTTATCACTCATGAGCCAAACTGCAAATCTATATCTATATACGGAATCTGACGTAATTCTCCACTGATATAGGGATGCATGTTTATCTTATAACGATACCACTTGGGACTCAATCCCCCAAAGAAACGGAGAAAATGTAATCCTAAATATTAAATAGATTACATTTGACCACTTTCAGTGTTCAGAAATGTGTAGACATAATGTGTCAAAGTATATTTCCGCTGTCCTTACAGACGGCAGCCCAATCTCACGTCACACTCAGTTACTTTATCCGGCAAATCGACCCATGGCAGCTGATGAGCTTTAGCGGACAGTGTTTGACAACTGGGAAGAAGCCAGTACCCCTCTAAGTCTGACATTTCTGCTTCAGTTAATCCATAAACTAGTCATGTGTGGATTTGAAATCCATTCTAGTGACAATAGAATCCAACTAATTAGGAAAACAAAAGATTCTGCGAACTTGAATGTATTTCTGAATATACGTCACAACATATGTCCGCTTCAATCACTTTCATCATATTTCTTCACTGACATCAACTGTGGCGTATGTGGATTCACAACTACAATAATTTCATCTCAACAATATTCATGTGGGGATTTAAAACATTTGTATTACAGAGAAGAAACGAAACATGGCGATAAATTCATGATTTGAAACAACTTTTGATGAATTTCTGACTCAGTTATTTGTTGTGATATTTCCCAGACATGTATGAAATGTGTGATAAACTGGTCAACTACTGCAGAATAATAATCATAACAATAGTCATGTGTGGATGTAAAATCTTTCTTATACACAAGAGAATCCAGTCAAGCAGTAAAACAACACATTTAGCTGACTTCGTTACATTCTTGTCCAAAACAAACAGCACATAGACAGACAACTTATACGTCCGCCTCAATCACTACAGTTACAGTTGACAGTTTAAATAAATAAGTCACACTTACAAGTTTACACAATGTTATGTTTATTTCATTGTCTAATTTAGGGCGTCATAAATAAGCGACTTCTTGGTGTCAGTCATGGTGATATCTGCGCCACTTATCACCTTCATGTTGACTGTGTAGCGATCTGACCGCCCAACACCAAACATGGGAAGAAGAGACTCGCTCCACTCAACATCCACCTTGGCTAAAACAACCTCTCTGTTGAGGTCGATAAAGGCGAGTCTCCCCCTCCCCACATCCAGCACAACGCCATAGTGGAGGGTGGCCTGTGTACCGGGTGTGTCAGACATTGTGTTACTGTAACACTTCCCCCCCTCCCCCTGCTGCCACACACTGGTACAGAGACTCCCCCGGTGTGTGCCACAGCTCCATACACAGACACACCAGGAGCGGCGCTGGTAACAAACACACCTCTCACTGTCTACCTGGCTCTCCTCCACCACACCCACCTCCAGGACAGGATACCACCACCCTCCACTCACCACACCCACCCTAGAGTGTGTCTCCCAGTATCGTGGTGTGTGTGGGACAGGGGTGACAGTAGAGGGGGTTAGAGGAAGGGGGATGGGGGTGGAGGCACATGTACCCCAATATTTCCGTAACCTGCCGCTGTGTCTGTGTTGTGTGGCGGGCCGCGAGTTCACCAGCTGACCGGCTGTAGTTACGTGGCACCTGTCTGCGTTGGCTCGAGCAGCGTCCAGTTGTAGTTTAGGACCTGGAAATATACATTTTGTTTACAGTTTAACAAATTTCCCGACTTCAGACAACAAATTAGTCATGTTATTGTCAACCTCGTTTCAATGTTTACAAAACAGCGCACTGAATGATCGGCCGCCATTTTCGTCTGTGTGTGAATTGTATCACCACTGTCACTTAAATACACACAATTATACTGTGAAAATATTTGTATGGGTATTCTAAATGTTTTTCATACAGTTTTATATTGACTGACAATGAAATAAACACTCCATGAAACATTTTGTCAGACACTGTCAGTTGAGCTGGTTTGCTGTCAGTTGTCAGAAATAGATATTTCCGTATGAAAACTCATATTTATAAACATCATTTCATGATAAAATTATTACTGTTGGTATTCTAAACTCTTCTTATACAGTTTACTAAACAATAAGACATAAAAAGCAGTTGTTTGATGATATTTTTACATCTGAGTGTTCACCAGACACAATGTCAATAGGTAACTTCTACGTCCGCTTCAATCACTGTGCCCAGTTTCAACACACTCGCTGTGTGGGGAGGTGGTCGAGTCATGTGTATTGGCTGGGACAGATGGAAGTTTTAAAGATGGTTATGAATTTATCAATTTCGTATATCTCAAGGAGGTCCGTTTCAGATTTTTTCAAGAAAGAATCAAATATAATATCACCGGGAGGACTGACAACCTGGCCAATCATTATCACAGGTGTTTGACTTTTAATTAATGGGCGAACATTTTGTGATATGAAAAACGTTTATTTCATATGCAAATAGTTTAACTGTCGTCAATCAACTTTTAGTCTGTGTTATGCTCATTTAAGTCAATATCCTTATATGTGTATAAACTTTCACCCTTTAATAATTATCAAGTATTTCAGTTTAGTTTCTCATTCATTGATAATGAAACAAATTTGTTGTGATTTGGGCACTTGGTTTAGACATTATACAACGGGACAGTAGACCAGTCAGATCAAGTTAGTGAGAACCAGGTAGACCCTCATAGTGTGCGTCGGCTTTTGATTGCACATACATATGTCGCCAATTTAAATTCGTAATAGTTTTGGGGGCAAATTCCAACTGAAGTCCCTACAAGTACGCTGAATTCTGTGGGTCAGAATAAATCAAAAACATCTATTCTTGAGTAAGTCAGTCGCTGCGAATACACATCTCCTTGAGTAAACACGCATTTCGGTGGCCCATTGTAGTAGACACATTCATATTACATCCCATGTCCTCCGTGACGCCCACTCTTGCTAACCTGCAGTGGTCACCTCGGCAAAACCCTAGTGGAGTGTCCATAGTCCTAGCTTCAGTTACAAATATATTTACCACCTACTCTAAGCGCAAACACAAAATAAACACATGTAATTTTAGACCCATGCTTCCTCAAGCTGATGGTTCACTGTCTATAACGATACGTCCTAGGCTTTGGAATGACATAAGGGAATATGGATTCTGTTGATACATATGAAAGTTACGTCTTCTAGAAACAGTATCGACGAAACAGACGCTAAAACTCTCAATATTCAAAGCCAATACTTCTTCACCCCAAACCTCATGACGATAAAACTGCACAGGCTTACCAAAAACTAGAACCGGCGGCATGCCTATTGTTAAAAGGGCGGGTAACACCATGTTCAGTGCTTACACACCCGTGAAGATCCGGGTTAGAATTGATAATACCCCATGCTTGTCGTAAGAGGCGATTAACGGGATTGGGTGGTCAGACTTGCTGACTTAGTTGACACATGTCATCGTATTCCGATAGCGTAGATCGATACTCATGCTGCTGATCACAAGATTGTCTGGCCCAGAATCGATTATTTACAGATTGCCACCATATGGGTGGAATTTTGCTTGTTTTATATTATAAGTTTGCTGATCACTGAGATCTTTTTGCTTGTTAAAATTAAGAAATGACTATATAATTCTTCATTTAAAAATATACACATATGGAATTCAGTTGAGCATGTAATAAAACTTGATGGTATTTTGCATCCAAGACTTCATTTTGTGGTTTGTGGCCCCGCCCTGTGTAGAGTTGTTTTCTAAGATTCTCCCTATTTTCAGCACTATAATATGTACCCTTTGGTTTGCCCACAAGTGTGAACAATATTTGTTGTCAGAGGCGACTAATGGGATCGGATGGTCAAGCTCTCTTACCTGGTTGACACAACTCGTATCCAAGTTGCCTAGATCGATACTCAAGCTGTTGATCTCTGGATTGTCGTCTCTAGGCTCGATTATTTACAGACCGCCACCATATAGCTGGAATATTGGTGAGTGCGGCGTTAAACTAACCTCACTCACTTCGGTGTTAAAACGAAATTAAATAGTAAAAACTAGTACCACAGAACCTGCTATATAAACCAGGCTCAGCATCACTACACCAAGTAACGTGTCCTTTGTTTAAAGAGCAAGCAAGACCGTAACATCCAGTACCATATGTTCTGTTTAAAGGAGGACATCACTACACCCAGCGCTATAATGAGTGTTTAAAGGCGGACATCACCACACCTAGCGCTATAATGAGTGTTTAAAGGCAGACATCACTGCACCCAGCACTATAATGAGTGTTTAAAGGCGGACATCACCACACCCAGTGCTATAATGAGTGTTTAAAGGCGGACATCACTACACCCAGCGCTATAATGAGTGTTTAAAGGCGGACATCACCACACCCAGCGTTATAATGAGTGTTTAAAGGCGGACATCACCACACCTAGCGCTATAATGAGTGTTTAAAGGCAGACATCACTACACACAGCGCTATAATGAGTGTTTAAAGGCGGACATCACTACACCCAGTGCTATAATGAGTGTTTAAAGGCGGACATCACCACACCTAGCGCTATAATGAGTGTTTAAAGGAGGACATCACTACACCCAGCGCTATAATGAGTGTTTAAAGGAGGACATCACTACACCCAGTGCTATAATGAGTGTTTAAAGGCGGACATCACTACACCCAGCGCTATAATGAGTGTTTAAAGGCGGGCATCACTACACCCAGCGCTATAATGAGTGTTTAAAGGAGGACATCACTACACCGAGCACTATCATGAGTGTTTAAAGGCGGGCATCACTACACCCAGCGCTATAATGAGTGTTTAAAGGCGGGCATCACTACACCCAGCGCTATAATGAGTGTTTAAAGGAGGACATCACTACACCGAGCACTATCAAGAGTGTTTAAAGGGCGGGCACCATCACGACATCTAATACAGTCTGTGTTCTAATGATCAAACACCCAGCGCTATAATGAGTGTTAAAAGGCGGCGATCACTACACCTAGCGCTATAATGAGTGTTTAAAGGGCGGGCACCATCACGACATCTAATACAGTCTGTGTTCTAATGATCAAACACCCAGCGCTATAATGAGTGTTAAAAGGCGGCCATCACTACACCTAGCGCTATAATGAGTGTTTAAAGGACGGCACCATCACGACATCTAATACAGTCTGTGGTCTAACGATCAAACCTTAAGACCAAATCCAGTACCACAGCCTGTGGTCAGAAGATACGGAAACCTGAATACACCCAGTACCATATCCTTTGTTCAGAAGACACGGAAACCTGAATACACCCAGTACCATATCCGTTGTTCAGAAGATACGGAAACCTGAATACACCCAGTACCATATCCTTTGTTCAGAAGACACGGAAACCTGAATACACCCAGTACCATATCCGTTGTTCAGAAGACACGGAAACCTGAATACACCCAGTACCATATCCGTTGTTCAGAAGACACGGAAACCTGAATACACCCAGTACCATATCCGTTGTTCAGAAGATGGGGATCACTAAAACAATACCCCTGTCGGATTCCAATGGTACACAAGGTCCACAATGTCATAGGGTTTCAGCAGCAAACCTGGACAGCATCGTCACACGTCAGGAAAGAACGTTTCATCCAGTAACCTATCGGTGTTACAGAAAGTTCAAGCAAGCAACTGATTATACTCACACTGCAGTGTCAACGTGGTCCCTATTTCTGTTTCCAGACTGTAGGTGTTCGTCCCCGCATCTGCAAAATATTCTCTAGCATGAAGAACAAAAATAGCCGTGCTCATACACATTAGGACATAACAGTAACTTCGATATTTGGGACTTTCTTTGTTTCAAAATGAGAGGTACTCCACCTTTGTACACAACAAAGTATCGGCTAAGACAGACCTGGGTCCCTGTAATGTCAGTAAAGTCACATTTCAACATTGTGTAGCCTCAGCTTCTGTCCATTACAAACGGGTATTGATAACGTATCAGATTTTTGCCCTTAAGTGTACAAGTATCACAGTATCATATCAACATAAAAATACCAAGATCTGTTTAAATATTAATCACTAAGATATCCTTTGGATAAATAGCTTATTGGGCCATCTTCTGCCCATTCATAACTGTTTCTGTTTAAATCATACAGGAGTTAGAAGTATGTGCTTCTGATATTATGGCATGAAAAGTAAAGGGACACATACAGTAACGTTATTTTCCATTCTTACGTTTTGCAAAGTAATGACAAGTAACCTCACCAAACTGTGGTAGTGGTGTTGGATCCTTAGAGGCATCCGGAAGCTTCAACTTGAAACAAAAGGAAGTATTTCAATGTCGCAATCCAAGATTCACAAAACAGTAGGCTTGTTTCACTTCTTACATACAAGCATAAGTTCAATATGAACATTATATGTACACAGGTGACAATAATTATTACCTCAGAGACTACGAGACGTATATACGTATGCTTACTAAGAAGTACTTACATGCTTGAGTGTGTTCTCCGGGTCAGGTAGATGGATGTCATCTGTCTGTGTACCTCTGTCTGTAAAATAACCCACAATTGTTACCAATCAATCATTTATGTTTCACCGAGTTTTTGTTAGAAAGGAATAGAACTAGCATCAACTCACCATCTTAAAATCAAATTAAATGAATGGTCAAGAGAAACATCAACAAGCTATCATTTTTTCTGACAAAGCCTGATAAGAAATACTTGACAGTATGCTAGGAAATACTGAAAGAAAAATCAAATGTGTGACATATTGAGTTAGAAGTAACATATATTGCAAGAGCAAGAGAAGTAAGTACCCCTCAGTGTGTGTTCATCAGATGCTGATCCATCTCCAACGACAGACCCAAACTTAGAAATGTCGGATTTCAGTTTCTCCAGACCTCTCATGTTGAAGACGGCTGCAGGTGAATGGTGCAGCTCTGGTGGAACTGATCTGAGGTGAGTCTGTGCTGTTTCTTGGATTGAACTCTCCAGTGTCAGAAAGTCCGAGTTTGAAGCATATCTGAGCACTGTCTTGATGTAGTCTGAGGTCCACTTGCATCGTTCACTCTCGCCTTCAGAGGTAACTTGCTCTGTGTGGAGATTTGCCAGTTTCTGCTTCGTCTGATTGTCAAGATCGATGATCAGCTCCTTCTCTCTTTGATCGAGTTGTGTTCTCAGAGAATGGAAAGTGTGGTGGATGGTCTCCTTCACAGCACTGCTTGTCTTCTTGGTGTCATTAACGGCTTTGTTGATGCTCTTCAGATATGCTTGGTGAGACGTATGATGTGCAGTCACGTTCTTCCCATGTTGTTCTATCTGCCCTTGAGCAGCGTCAGAAGCTACGTCTAAATCCTCAACATCGTGTTCAGCATGGTCGCCGGCCCTGCATTTCGTACAGATTAAAATGTTGCAGCTTTTGTCAAAATATTCCAGAGGATAACGCTTGTGAAGTTTGCAAACTGGTTCAGCATGCATGCCTCCTGGTGCTGTGTCCACAATGGTTTCAACAACATGTCGTCTGGTAGCTTTAAAACTGTTGTGCATGTTCTGGCAGTATTCACAGAGTAACTCTTCACACTCTGGACACCAACACGCAGCCTGGTTGCCGTCATCTTCATGTGTACAGAGAAGCTCTGTGGGGCGATGTTTGACTGTCAGGTGGAATATTTCCTTCTGTCTCACTGCATCCTTCTGGAGGCTTGTGTCTGTGAGGTTGACCTCCCTCTGACATGTGGAGCATGATATCACACCACCAGCTGCAGATGTCACACATGTCTCACACACAGCGTGTAGACAGGGCAGTAGGTAGGGGGCGGGGCCTTTCAGGGTAAGCTGCTGCTGACAGACAGAACATTTGGGGAAGTCGTCCATTCTGAAACAAACATATCATTGTCCTAATTCACTTCAATTAAATAATATGAACAGTTTATCAAGAATCGCAAACTAATTCGAAGAAAATATATGCGTTGAAATTTAGCACTTCCCCATGATGAAGTATGATTTTCAGTAAAACTCCGGCAAACACATTTCACTACATCAATGAAGGGAAAAGAGGCAACAACCCTTGTGAGGACTAGAAGAGAACAACCCTGTAAACCCCAGTCTTAGACTTAGTTTACTATATCCATTATTGAGTGAGTGAGTAAGTAACTGAATTGGGTTTTTAGCAATATTCCAGCAATATCACTGCGGGCGAAACCAGGAATGGGCTTCACACATTGTTCCCATGTGGTGATCGAACCCAGACCTTTGACGAGACGAGCGAACGCTGTACCCACTTGCTACCCACCGCTCTATCATATCCATTAAGTCATTCAAACAGATGGGTCCGCTAAGGCAGGATTAGTGACTTAACTCTCACACTAAGAGAGTGGGTTCGAATCTCGGATGGGGCTTAACCTCAGTACTAGAATCAGTACTTTCCTGATAAAGTGTAATCCCAAATATAGTACAGGTTTCATCTGCTCACTTTCTAAACGGCGTTGTGAGTTCATACATGAACACAGTTGGGACCGACAACTACACCGACACGGCCTCGTCACGAATTCTAGACAATATCAACTACCGGACTCTCGCAAGTCAAACATATCTTTCTTCCACTTTTGCATGGCTTGTTTCCATCCTAATTTACTCTAAGCTCAATGCTAATTTGTTTTATTTGCTCATCAGATGTATATTTCTTCACCTTATTTGTCCCTCAACTTCCAGACAGAGTCCATCAACGAATTTGCCCTTTTCCAATAAATAGCAAACAAATACAAATACATTAACAACTGCCCTTAAATTAGCTTTAGGTGCAAGGACTGGTACCTCCGCCAACACACCCCTGTTCACCATAGGCATAACATCAATTACAACAAAGAGACAACAGTACTAACTAACGCCTAACAACTCTCCTGGGACAGAGCACAACCCAATAATATACAATGAGTGAGTGAGTATGGATTAACGCCGCTTCACACACTGTACCTGGGATCGAACCCGGGTCATCAGTATGACGAGCAGTCACTTTAACAATTAGGCTACCCTTACGCCACGTGTTTTACCTCACACAATATACTATTCAATCTACCCGTATTTCCCACACCTCGAGCTGGCTAGAAACATGAACTGTTTATCCACCCCGAACTCATGCCCCTTTATCTAACCGACCACCCGCAGTCACCCAATGACAGAACTCTCTCAGTGATCACAAGCGCCATTAAACGCCTAAAAATAGCCTGTCCTACTTGTAGACGATAACGCCCATGCACAACGATCCACAATAATATCATACCTCAAGTTTGACTGCTGTCAAGTCACAACTGGGCTCTGCCAGTTTGATACTTGTAAAGAAACGGAATGTATCTAATCCTAATATATGCCAGTAACACCCTGTATCTCTGTGGCAATGTTAGGTCGAGTTGTCCTTGTTTTGTAAGTGCAATATAACATGCAGCGTGTACAACACACCACGAGTAATGGCGTCTGAGGTGGGAGTGACAATGAAGGGTTTACCTGTTTGCCCTGACGCCTGATTGTGAACACTTAAATGAAGGTCGACATAGAAATGACATAATCTACTATACTCACGCATGTATTGCGCTGAAAATTAACCAAATACAGCTACATGAAGAAGGAATTTCTGGAATATGTCGAGACAGTACAGTATTCACCTGCTTGTCGTTCGACTTCCTTGTTGTACAGGTAACTTCCGGGTTACAGGCTTATGAGCGAGTTTTGTCATAATGGAATGGCGTTAGGGACACACGCGCCTTGTGAATATTAAGTCATAGTACTGTGGGAAGAAGGTCCAGTACTCTAATTATTCTTACCCGACTGATTACATGGGAGAGAACATGGGTGGAGGGAGCGCTGGGAAGAAGGGAGATGTGAGTTCTGGTAGGAGGGAGAAGCGGGGAGGAAGCAGAGGTGATTATGTGTTGGAGGGAGAGGCGGGTACGTGTTGGAAGGGGAGCTGGGGAGGAGGAAGACGTGGGTACTTGCAGGAGGGTGGCGTGAAGAGAAGAGAGATGTGGGTACTGGTAGGAGGCTGAAGTAAAGAGAAGAGAGATGTGGGTAATGGTAGGAGGCTGAAGTGAAGAGGAGAGAGATGTGGGTAATGGTAGGAGGCTGAAGTGAAGAGAAGAGAGATGTGGGTAATGGTAGGAGGCTGAAGTGAAGAGGAGAGAGATGGGTAATGGTAGGGAGGCTGAAGGAAGAGAAGAGAGATGAGGGTAATGGTAGGAGGCTGGAAGTGAAGAGGAGAGAGAGATGTGGGTACTGGTGGGGAGGCTGAAGAGTGAAGAGGAGAGATGTGGGTACCTGGTAGGAGGCAAGAGAAGAGGAGAGAGATGTGGGTACTGGTAGGAGGCTGAAGGAAGAGGAGAGAGATGTGGGCACAGGGGAAGGAGAGAGAAAGTGAGACCGGTAAGAGAAGAAGAGAGAGAGGATGTGGGTACTGGTAGGAGGCAGGAAGAAGGAGAGGGTGAGAGATGTGGGTACCTGGTGGGAGGTTGAAGCTGGGTAGGAGAGAAATGTGGGTACTGGTATTAGGGGCAAAGAGGAGGAGAGAGATGTGGGTACTGGTAGGAGGAGGTGAAGAGAGGAGGAGGAGACCGAGATGTGGGCACTGGTAGGAGGGTGAAGCGGGTGGGAGAGAAATGTGGGTACTGGTATTAGGGTGCAAAGAGGAGGAGAGAGATGTGGGTACTGGTAGGAGGGTGAAGCGGGTAGGAGAGATGTGGGTACTGGTAGGAGGGTGTAGAGAGGAGGAGAGAGATGAGGTTCTAGAAGGAGGCCTGAAGCCGGCAGGAGAGAAAATATCGGAACTAATTATTAGGTTGCAAAGAGGAGGAGAGATGTGGGGAGTACTGATAGGAGGGGTGAAGGAGGAGAGAAATGTGGCACTGGTAGGAGGGTGTGTAGAGAGGAGGAGAGAGATGATGAGAGTTGTGAAGGAGGGTGCAGTGGAAGGAGAGAGAGAGATGTGGCACTGGTAGAAGGGGTGTGAAAAAGGAGGAGAGATGTGGTAAATTGGGTAGGAGGGTGAAGAAGTGGGAGAGAGAGAGATGTAAGGTACTGGTAGGAGGGTGTAGAGAGGAGGGAGAGATGAGGTTCTAGGAAGGAGGCTGGAAGTGGAGAGAGAGAAATGTGGGTACTGGTGTTAGGAAGAAGGAGGAGAGAGAGATGTGGGGTACTGGTAGGGAGGTGGAAGAGAGGGAGGAGAGAGATGTGGGTACTGGTAGGTGGTGAAGGTAGGAGAGAAATGAAAATGGTATAAAAAGAGGGAGAGAGAGATGGGAAATGGATAGAGGAAAGGAGATGTGTGAGAGAGAGATGGAAGGAGGTAGTGGAAGGAGAGAGATGTGGAAGGTAGTGAAGAGAGATGGAATAGTGGTAGAGAGAGATGGAGGGGTGGAAGTGGAAGGGATGGAGAGATGGAAGAGAGGAGAGTGGGAATGGATGGAGGGGTGGAGGGAGAGGACAGTGGAGATGGTGGAGGAGGGTGAAGTGGAGAGAGATAGTGGAGAGGAAGAGGAGAGAGATAGGACAGGGTGGACGGCGCAGAGCCGAAAAGAGGATCGGAAAAGGACGAGACCACCGGACGGCATGAGGAACGGAGATGAGGTGGAGGCACCGAAGATGATAACCCGGAATAACGAACAGACAGACGTAACCGGACGGAGGTGACGCGGATGACGGCAACGGAAGAATGACGACGACAAGACGGGCAGGAAGACAGGAGACCGGAATGAAGAAGAGACGGAAGGACGACAAGAGTGAAGACAGAGACGGTAAGGAAGGAGACGGGCACCGGACGCAAGAGGAGGAGGAGACGGAAGACGCGCAAGAACCGGTGGAGACGGTGAAGACGGCACCCGGAGGCACCCCAGGAAAACAGACACGACAGAGGAGTGAGGAGAGACCGGCACACGGCAACGAGGAATGGCACCCGGAAGGAGGTGAAGGAGGCACCCGGAAGGAGGACAGGATGGAGTGGACACGGACACCGCAGGAGGAACCCGACAACAGGAAGACAGGAGGAGAGACGAGACGGAAGAGACAAACAGTGAGACGAGAGACCCGGAGGAGGAAGAGGCACCAGGTGAAGAGATATGGCACGGTGAAGGAGGAATGACCCAGGAAGAAGACAAGGAGGAAGAGTGGACACAGGAGGAAGACAGGATGAGACCAGTGGAAGGAAGACAAGGAAGGGTGAAGAGGAAGAGAAGACAGGAGGACGTGGCACCCCAGGAAGAGGCGGTGAAGACAGAAAATGGAGTGGAGGAGGACACCAGGAGGACACAGGAAGAGACGTGGCACCGGAATGGAGACGGGCACAGGAGGAAAGGAGGAATGAGGAGAGACATGGCACCCGAGAGATGTGGTGAAGACAGGAAGATGGCAGGAGGAGACACAGGAGGTGAAGGAGGAGGACATGTGGCACCAGGTGAAGGAGGAGGAGGAGGGCACCAGGAGTGGAGACACCGGGAGGAAGAGGAGATGGCACAGTGGAAGGAAGAGGACATGTGGGCACAGTAGGAGGTGGAAGGAAGAGAGGAGGGCACTGGAGGGTGGAAATGAGAGATGTGGCACAGTGGAAGGAGGAGATGGAAGAGATGTGGTGAGAGGTGAAGAGGCACAGGAAGCACAGGAGATGGAAGTGATGGTGGAGAGATGTGGCACCAGGATGGTGGCCGAATCAGGACGGAGATGGGTACCAGAAAAGGTGGAAGAGAATGGAGACGGGAATGGTGTGAAGAGGAGAGGGAGGGCACTGGAGGATGGTGAAGAGAGATGGATGGTGAAGAAAGGAGAGAGATGGAGGGTGAATGAGATGGGCACAGTGGAGGGTAAGAAGAGATGGAGGGTGAAGACAGGAGAGATGGGCACAGAGTGTGAATGGAGGAATGGAGATGGAGGAAGAAGAGAGGAGAGATGGGCACTGGAATGGAGGGTGGAAGAGAGGAGGAATGGATGGAAGATGGAGGGAGGAGGAGATGTGGGAATGGGTGTGAAGATAGACAGAGTGGATATGGGAGGGTGGAAGGAGGAGAGATGTGGAGGGTGGAATGGGAGATGTGGGAGGGTGGAAGAGAGGAGATATGTGGAATGGAGGGAGGGTGAAGAGGAGGAGGGAATGGAAGAGGAGAGGAAAATGAGGTGGAAGAGGAGAGAGGATGGGAATGGATGAAGGAGAGGAGAGATGGGAATGGATGAAGACAGGAGGAGGAATGGAATGGAGAGAGATGGTAACAGGAGGAAGAGGGAATGGAAGGAGGAGATGGAGGGTGGAAGAGGAGAGATGGGAATGGAGGGTGAAGATAGACAGAGGATGGGTGGAAGAGATGTGGCACATGGAATTGATAAGGGTGGAAGGGAATGGATTAACAATGGAGGATATAACGACGTGAAGGAAGGAAGGAATGAATGGAAGCCTGAATGGAATGGACTGAGCCGGACCAGTCCTTAATGGCCTTTAATGCCGGAAGGTGGAATCAAATGGAATGGAATGGATCGGTGAATGGAATCAAGGACCACCGGATCTGGATCGCTCTAACTGACCACACCAAGGAATGAAGGGAAGAGAGAGATGGGGAACAGGAGGGTGGATGTGGAGGAGATGGAATGGAGGGTGGAGGAGGAATGGATGGAGGAAGAGATGGACAGGGTGGAAGGAGATGGAATGGAACGGAATGGAA